TTCAACTTATTGTTAAAAACCATATCTATACACTTATGTTTCATATACATATGTATTGATATGAGAGCTTTCATTCTTTCTTCAGTTCCAACACTCTTGTGTAGCAAGGGTGTATAAACCTACTTGGACATTCAAATTACATTCCAGTAAACTATTATAGGTATAGTTTAGGGGGATACAAATTACTATTCCTATTCAAGGAATTACACAAGAGTCAGTTCATTCATGAGTCTATACTAATACATTACATGCAATATGAAGAGATACTATTACATGGATACCATTACATGGATACTTTTACATGGATTCTGTTACATAGATACTATATGATGGGATACTATTACATATTATATGTGTAGATACTATTATATATGTACGGGACTAACCATTCTACACCCAGCTGTTAGCTATAGAGGGAAAATGCACATCGACGGATGTCTACGGTTAATACTATTCGGCAATTACTCTGCCGTGTTTATCCTAGTACCAAAGGATAATACTTAAATGATTATATAATTTTCCTTATTACTTTTATTTTGTTGACACATTCACATAAACGATGAGGTAGACTATATATTTATAAAAGTAGTCGCACATGGGAAAAACTTTCATTTATACATAAAGGCAACCTTCAAGCCTTCGGGTCTTGGTAGAAGACTACTTTTTATACTAGTAGGAAAATATGGGATTTTCTAGGGTTTTCACACTTATACTAAATGTTTCATCAAATATTTACAAGTCTTTCATAACAGCTTTTCAAAGCAATGACACCATAATACTTATGAATTCACCAGCTTTATGCTGATCTACACTTTCAAAATAACTTGTATTCTCAGGTCACCAGTAGACAGGTACGATGACCAGGTTTTGAGAAGACGGAGCACAGACAAGACTCGTCTTTTATTTTGATTACATATTTTGGTGTCGTATTACTATGAAAGAACACTCATGTATTAAAAATTTACTTTTAATGCAATGGATGATGTTGTTGCTTGTTTACTACTTTGCACTGTTATGATACTTTACATGACGTCCTCCACCCCTGAACGTTTCCGCCGTTCTTGGTTTTTGGGGTGTGACAGATTGGTATCAGATCTTTGTTTATAGTGAATTGAGTATATCAACCCATAAAAGATATACTAACTATAAATACAATGGGATTAAAATACTCTGACCAAGAGTATATACTTTTAAATAATAAAATATTTAACTAAGTATACGTGCCTGCATTCATACTAAAATCAGTGTCACAATGACAAGAAGAAAAGTATTACGATTGTTGGATATCACAGGTAAACTTCGGGATGTATGGTCAGTCCTGGGAGTGGCATAGCCTGATCAACTATGCTGGTCCGAGGAGTGATTAGTATATGCCCAAGAATGGTTGTGATATGGCAACCAGTCTAAAAACTTACCAACATTACCACAATGAAATACCATAGGGGTATTTGGTGTTACTATAATTACTTATCTGAGAACTAAACCGGTCTTTATCAGTAGGTCAATAGTTGCTGAGTGGATACACCAAGATTATATGTATCTAGGACGTCATAGACTCAGAATCTGTGAATCCTTGCTTTACTTCTTGTCCTTGTTTGGTTGTAGGCTTAGAGTTAGGGTCACATATTCGAAGGTCTATCCTGTCCTGAGTACATATAACTGGTATGCACTAAACAAGTATTGAAGTAACTGATAAAGATCATCTTATAATTATCTTATTTAGTACGTCTATTAATTTCTTCTTATATTCCTTTTCTCGCATAGATATCATGGCTGGATTCCATCCCCACGGCGACCCGTACTACCCTAACCACGGCAATGCTGGATGGCTCGGAGAAGAGCCAGAGAATGATCACCCAATTCCACACCATGATCTTGGTGCTTCCTCTCTCACAGTCATCATGTTTCACTTGTGCTCGGACGATCGATGAAGTGTTATCTACATTACACCATGCTATAGTGAGGATACTCTCCAACAAGAAGGTCATCCCGATAGTAGCCCTGCTACCTACGACCCCACAACATCTCTGTTTCCTAGCTCTTGGAAATGGTCTCGCTGTGCAACCCTACCTGTAGCCTCTCCGCGTACCCCACAACATCTCTGTTTCCTGGCTCTCGGAAATGGTCTCGCTGTGCAACCCTACCTGTAGGCTCGCTGCGTACCCCACAACATCTCTGTTTCCTGGCCCTCGGAAATGGTCTTGCTGCGCAACCCATACCTCTAGCCTCACCTCTTATCCCTTCGCACCTCTGCTGCTGGGCTCTCGGCAACAGTCTCACTGCATGTTTCCTACCTATAGCCTCACTACCTGTTCCTCAAGAATTCTGTTGTCTGGCTATCGACAATAGTCTTACTACGTGACCCTCGCTAGCAATCGCCTAGCTCTCGGAATCTCTGCCACTTATATTATGGTCAACAACCTTACGGTTTATTGGTTCGACAACATAGTCTGACACGGCTACCTACGCTACCCACATCAGACTGGGGGGAATCCAGCTAGGTGTAGCCCAAGCAAGAAATACCTTCAAGGCGGTTATTAATGCAGACTATGTAGACAGATATCAATGACATTCCATATGCGCATGACTACCACAACATCGGAGCCGCATAACAGTCTTAGGGACTGAAGGGCAAGCTTACGGTTCTTAACTACCCCGGCCCGACATTCCATCGACATCAGTGTCGTGTAACACTCTTTAGCAGCCTCAGTCTGCATCGTACCGATCGGCTCGCACTCCTCTCAATGAAGGAGTATCAAGTCAGCTCAAGCAGTGTTTGGCTCATCGCACAACCCCACGGCTCTCGTGGGCGAGGTTCGGTCATTTCTCTTTATTATTTAATGCTTTGGTGCTTTATCTAGTTCGATCCGATTGTCAGCAACCCAATCGCATCAGACTAGGGGGACTTGACGACACACAGTTTATATGACTAGTTCCAGTCCGATGTCATTGGCCGCGTACGAATAACACCAGACTGGGGGGACTTGATGATATATGGTCCACTAGCATGGCCCAAACTGCTCCAGCGCGCCAGCCTGGCCTGGCGCGCTTCTGCCAGCCCTGCCTGGCGTTCCCTTGCGAGCCTTGCTGGGGACTCCCTTGCCAGCCCTGCTGGGGACTCTCCTGCCGGCTCGGCCAGGCGCTCCCTCGCCTGGCACTCCCTTTCCATCCTCTCTTGGTGCGCGCCCGCCAGCCCTGCCTGGGGCGCGCCCACCAGCCCTGCCCGGCGCCTCCGGGCGGCCTTGCCCAACTCCTTGCTAGTTGGGTCTGAATTGGGCTGGCCCAAGGCCTGCCCTAATTCCCCTTGACCTAATTGTCCACTATAAATAGAATAGTGCCTCCTCCATGAAGGAGGACTCTCTCTCCCAGGTGGTTCAGCCACTACTATCCTTTCCCATGGCTCAGCCGCCACACCATACTCCGGCCAGGTGGCTCAGCCGCCACCCGCCGCCGTCAGCCACCATACACCACCACTAGCACCAAGATGGTTCTCTCCAGCTATGGAGTACCATCTCAGATCTTCTAGCTGATCTAACTTGACCGTCGGAGCCCGCTCCCGGGGCACAGTCCCTGGGACGGCTCTAACGATTTTGTACTGTGATGTCCAGATCTCCGCCGTAGCAGAAGACCAGAAGAGCCGCCGGAGGCCGATGTCGCATCACCCAACGTAACTCCTCTGTTGGATTGGAACTGGGGCTGGTATCATAGCATAAACCTTTTCGTTTTGATGCTTTTTCTGCTGGTTCTGGTTCGCTCCATTGGACTTGCGTTTGTGGTGGTTGTTGCTAACCTTTGGAGTTTCAACTTCCTTTACCATTACTCCATTTTCGATTTTGTTCTTGATCAATTGCAGAGCTAGACGCTTAGCACTAAGATATGTGGTAGGTTTTGATGAAAGTACCATCCCTTTTATTTGTGGAGCCAGACCCCATATATAATGCTCCACTTTGTTGCTTTCTAGTCTCACCATGTCTGGACAGAGGAGTGCAAGGTCATTAAACCTTGTTGTGTAAGCCTTGACTTTTGAACCTTTTATCTTCAAGTTCCAAAGCTCGTGTTCTAGGCTCTGTACTTTTTCTCGCGGCTAGTACTCCTCTATTAAAAGTTTCGCCATGCTTTCCCATGACATCGAGTTGGCCACCGAGACACCCAAGGTTTTTACATGGTCAGTCCACCATGTTAGAGGTCCATCAATCAAGGTGCATGCAACAATACGTACTTTTCTACCCTCAGAGCAGTAGCATATGTCAAAAACAGACTCGACTTTTTTCAAACCAACGAGTTAAACCAACAACACCTTCGTTGCCATAAAAGTTTCTTGGCTTGCAACTCATGAAGTCCTTGTAGGAACAAGTTCTTCTAGGCTCTTCTAGATGTGAGTGAAGAGTGCTTCCAGCTCCGTTTCCCATTCCATTCACTTCCACGACTTGTCTTCCATCATTCAAACTCCTTGTAGTTGCCATTGCAATAGTAATGCGTTCTGAAACTAGTTGTTCCAATCTTGCTGTAGTTTGAGGAAATCCCGACTCGGGAAGTGGTGGAATTAGAGCGCTAGAAGTTGGCATTTCCGTTACTGGAGTCACAACCGGCCTTCTGGCTGGTCGACCTCTCCGGGTTCGTCCTATAGTTGGTTCGGTAGTTGGTGTTACTTCGGGGTTTGCTTTGGTGTTCCTCTTTGGAGGCATTTTGATTTCCATATTCAGTTAGTAGTAGGGGTTTAGTTTGTGATATTTTTGTTAGTTCTCTAACAATGTTATTATTAATGATCACGATTCATATAATAGTTCAAAAAAATATTTTTAAACTTAATAACATATGCTTTATTATATTAAACATTAACATCCGAGTACATTAGTCTTTACCATTCTCAAAATGTAAGGACTTACCATTAGTGGTACAAAGACCAACTAATAAACAAATAAGGTTCACATATGCTTACATATCCTAACACATATCCGAAAAGTTTGTTGCCAAAATTTGCAAGTTTCTCAAAAACTCGACTAATTAGTTTTATAAAAACTAAAAAAAATATTGTCCACCGAGCGAGACATGTCATCATATTTTTCTTCTAGTATTTTATGTTTTTTCTCTAGTGTTTCGTGTTTTCCCACTAGCATAGCATGTCTCTCCTTGATTCCATATGCCACTGAAAGGGCAATTTGGTTTTGAGTTTCCACATTGGTTACTCTTGAATCGAAATTCGTCCAGCTGTTATGGCGGTAGTCCATCTCTTGATAGAGATTGTCTTGCAAGATCTGATACTGACCTTGTTGTTTATTCATGCGGGCCATTTCTTCCTTCGTTTTTATGGATTGACCTTTCTTGTTTCTTAGTTCGTCACTGACGTGCCACATTTGTCCATGAAATAAGACGTTTTGCTCAAGTAGGAAGGATAATTTGTCAATGTCCATGTCAGATGCACGTGCAATGCCTGATGCTTGTCCTTCTTCAAAAGTTGCTACAGTTCGCTTCTCAGTCGTCCTCTGGTTCCCACGGCTGCTTTCCAAAACAAGTGGGTCCATCGCCTTTCTAGTGCGAGGGGACCTCAAGTTATACTTTATAGTAACGGGTTTTGGGACTGAAATCCTTGCATTTTTTCCGGAACGGCGGAGTGAATATCCAAGGAAAGAGCGGCGGGGAGTAGGTGGAATTGAGGCGGATGACTCTGAATCGGTTATCATTATCACCTCATCTTCATCCACATCATCTTCGGCATCATCCTCAGGTTCCTCCTCCATCTCCTCTTCCGGATCCTCCTCTGGATCTTCTTCAGGCTCGAACTCATCAGATTGCATCGATGCATGTTCAGCTGGAGAAATGGGTTGGTACATGGATGCATAGTCGGGGAAATAGGGATCTCCAGGTGGTACATGAAACATAGGCTCGTCTGCTGGTGGCATGATTGTACTCCATAAATTATTCAGCTAAACTAAGAACTATTTAGTACTTCTAATATGTTACTCAAAATTTACACATATAAATAAAAGAAAGTCCTATCGACCCTTATTGACTTGTGATCACACGTTACTTTTAAAACGCCAACATTTTAGCTTATCAACTACTTCGCTTAAGTTGGATAATGCATAAGGCCCGACCAAAATAAAACATAGGTGCACATCTAGGTTTAGTTATGGTATGACCTATGTTTTATGAAACCAAATTGAGTATTCGATCTAAATCCTTGTGTTTAAGTTTATTAGATTCTTAGCTTCTAAGTGTTGTAGGATAAGGATATTTCCTAAACCTACTAGAGTAAGCCCTAGACTATAGTTGTATTTTTCTTAAAAAGAAAATACTAAGTTCTTTATAGTTGTTAGCTCTGATACCAATCTATCACACCCCGACCGACGTCGGAAATCGTCGGGGTTGCGACGTTATACAATTGGATCACAAGTCAAACACATATATCGAATACTTAATATATTTCAAATCAATATATTACAAACCTTTAAGTTTTAGAATTGAAGTTTACATATTCATAATTAAACACACAACGATAAAATAAAAACAGTTAAAGATTATTCCCAAAAGAAAGGAACTATAATTTCCTTTGAACCGATGTCCTACCTCCGGCTCCTTAGTTACGTCAACAAAAATTGTTGGTGAGTTCCACAGGTTTTGACTCCGTGAGTTTCATAAAAAGAAATCTTTATAAAACGTGGAATGTTTAACAAAATAAGTTGTGCAAAACATGGTCGATAATGTTACCGATATGCTTCGTGTGAGAACCGATACTTGAAATCCAATACGAGTATCCATGTAAAAATACTTATGATAAAAGTAAATATTAACATATTGTTGTGCAGCAAAATATTTAGTGTTTGTATAAATAGACCCTAACAATCGGTTTAATAATCTATAAACAATATTTATACTACATACAACCTCATCCTAGTTTGTATTAGTATTTCTGTGTCCGGGGATCTTGTTAAAATTCCCAATTGTTTGAGTTTGAAGACTTTTGGTTGTAATGCTTAATAATGTAAGGCTACCAGAGTTCTAACGGGAGAACGGTCGTATGTGTCCCTATACGAGTTTATACAGTACATCGATTGTAAGTGAATATATACATGTTTAGACAGTACTCCGACTGTAAGTGACCATAACAAATGTTTAGACAGTACTCCGACTGTAAGTGACCATATATATGTTTAGACAATACTCCGACTGTAAGTGACCAACAAAGTTTATACATCACCCCGGCTGTGAGTGACAAAAATCGACATAGTTCAAATCATCTTATATTATAAGGTTGTCAACATGATCATATTAGAAATACTTGTTATAATTTACACTTTAGTAACTATTAAAGTATGTGTGAATTAAACAATATCATTAATTGTGTATTTCTCATTTACAACAAAACTTTGTATATGCATTTGAAAGTCCAAACAGCAAGATAAATGAAAAGGGCAATTCTGTCCATGTTTTTAGAAAATCATAAAAAAATCATCGTAAGTCGAAATCTGGATCCATAAACTCTCAAAGTTTAAAAAATGAGTCTACTATATCCATAATTTTTACCCTGACCTTAAGTGGTTCCTAACCAGAGTGAAAATGTTCATTTTTACAGACTGCTCCGAAAATGTTCTGAAATGATAGGCATTTTTGTAAAAATCATTATAAATTGTAGAAAAATCGTATGAACGCGTGCGACTAGTCCTTGAAAAGGTATAAACCTGAGCTATTTCCATTTTGTACAGTTTTGAAATCCATTAAGTTTAAGGAGAGAAAAACAGTCCGTGAACAGACCATAACTTTTCTGTGAAAAGCTGAAATTTAATCTTAGATATGTGTAGTGACATAACTTGCATTTTTACTTAGAAAAGCCTTTAAATCTTTCAAATATAAACTTTTTAGTGTGTATTCTCCCCCAAAACTTGTAAAACATAAAATAGGGTCCGTAGAAAACTCACTTTTGTCGCGTAGAGTTATTCGGGTTGAGAATGGTTCGTGCGGTTTTCGGTTCCACTCAAGTTTTGATTCGAGTATTCTACTGGATGTCTTAGCACATAAAGACATATGTTTACATGTATGTTAGACTTTTATCATGTCTTAAATCATTTAAAATCAGTGGGTTTGATGATGAAAACAAAGAGTAGAAATCCAGAATATACCTAGCTTCAACATGGATCAAAAGTATGTTGCCAAAAGGTGGTGGAATAACACAAGCTTTTTGAGAGGAAAAGGGTAACTTTATCAGGGGTTCTAAGTGTTTGAAAGTAGCTACCAATGGTATACTTTAAATATCGAAAATGGGCTGAAAGATGAAGAACTTTTGAGTGTTTGTTTGATGCTCCAAAACAGCCATTGTTTTGGCTATGTTGCTGTCACGAAATCTTCACAACAAAAGGGTAAGAAAAAGGTAGTTTACTTACTGTTTTGAATCTCAAATTTGGAGTAGCATAACAACTAACTTCCAGAGTTATTTGGTGGTAAGAATATCAAGCAAAAGGAAGGTGTAGATGGGTGAAATGGTGGCTGAAACACAAAAGGGACAACAGCCCTTTAGTTCACGGTTTTGATGGCTTTGGAAGGAAGTTCTTGTGGCTGAAAATGTGATGAAGGTTGAGAGTAATTCCCTGGAGTATTGGCTGGTCAAATGAGGGTAAAATGAAGAGGAAATGTCGTGGATATGAAGGAGGAAAGAGTCGAAGAGGATAAGGGGACAAAACCTAGACTAGCTTGTGATTGGATGGGAAATTATGTGATGTGATCTTGCCTAGCCACTTGCTTGGGTGGTTGCTTAGAGATAGGGTTAGTTAACTAACTAACTGCTAGTTAGTTAGAATTCTAGTTATGGAGAGGGAAGGTCTTAATCTCGAAAATTTGAAGAGGGATTAAGAAGCATTCTTAGTAAAATCTCATAAGTGATTAAGCACTTATTAGTTAAGTTGGCACTTATCTCAACCATTTCTCTTATCTTAATTGATTTAGACACCATATTCCTTACATAAAATCATTTTAAGTCATGACCCATAACTAGTCATCCACTAGATAATAATACATATGTACAAATACATACATGCATTCTTAGTACAAAATAACAATGTAGTTTTTGTGTATTTGAACTTAAATGTTTATCTTTTATTCTTTTTATTCAAAAAGACTTAAATAAATTCTAATTATGCCTTATAATAATTCATTTTATATTTTCATTTATTTAAATATAAAATTTATTGACCAAGGTATAATTTCGTGACATTTTAGCGGTTAACCATATCGTTAAACACATTTTGTCACTTTGGTTCATATAGTTGTCAAATTTAGATCCTTCACAACTATTAAGCACACGTTTTACAAAGAACTTAACTTACTTATCAACTAGAGACAAGTTGATACAGAAATTAAATTTGTTGCGTTCAAATGATGTTATATGCTAATTTTCACAAACCGGTGATGGTTCGTAGTCATACATCATAACGAAATTTATCAATATTTACTTGTTTTATATTTCACAAGAACTTATTAAAATAAAAGTGGTTAAACTCTTTCAACCATTTTTGATAAAATACCAATATTGCTTAATAATCAAAACATAGCATCATACGATCGTTCCTATTTTTACCAATTGTTACATTCTCCCACTGTTAAAAGAATTTTGCCCCGAAATTCAACTTGCAGACGGGATATCACTAAATAATTGGGGATATTTCTTTTTTATTTGATCCTCGTGTTTCCAGGTGAATTCTGGTCCTCGCTGAGAGTTCCAAAGAATTTTCACGATAGGAATACGACTCTGTTTTAAACGCTTCACTTCTCGATCCATAATTTCTACATGTTCTTCAACGAAGTGGAGTTTTGTGTTCAATTGTATTTCGTCGAGAGGTATTACGTTGGTGTCGTCGGACAGACACTTTTTCAGGTTGGATACATGGAATACGTCGTGTACTTTGCTCAGTTCTTGAGGTAGCTTTAGTCGATACGTAAGAGGACCAATTATGTCTAGAATTTCGACAGGTCCAATGTATCTTGGGTTAAGCTTTCCTCTTTTGTGCAAACGAATCATACCCTTCCAGGGTGATACTTTTAGCATCACTCGATCTCCAACTTGGAATTCTAGAGGTTTACGCCTTATATATGTATAACTTTTCTGACGGTCACGCGCTGCCTTAAGTCGATCCTTGATTTGAATGATCTTCTCGGTCGTTTCATGGATTATCTCTGGCGCAGTACACATCATGTCATTTTTGTTTGCTCGGGCCAGTTGGGTATCCCCATCCTCTGCCCAACATATAGGCGATCGACATTTGCGTCCGTATATTGCTTCGAATGGTGCTGCTTTCAGGCTGGTGTGATAACTATTATTATAGGAAAACTCAATCAATGGTAGATGAGTATCCCAAGAATTTCCAAAGTTAATTACACAAGACCGTAGCATATCTTCTAGGGTCTGAATGGTTCGTTCACTTTGACCATCTGTGTGTGGGTGGTAAGTTATGCTCATATCCAAGCGGGTTCCCAGGGATTTGTGAAGTGATTGCCAGAACCTTGATGTGAACCTACTATCCATATCCGAGATAATAGAGGTTGGCACTCCATGAAGCTTGACAATTTCTTTGAGATATGTTCTTGTCAGCTTTTCCATGTTGTTAGTTTCCTTGATTGGTAGGAAATGGGCAGACTTAGTTAATCTATCAACCATTACCCAAATAGTGTCATAACCACTAGGAGTCTTGGGACGCTTTGTGATAAAGTCCATTGAAATTTGCTCCCATTTCCACTCGGGAATCTCAGGCTATTGCAGTAATCCCGAGGGCTTTTGATGCTCAGCCTTGACTTTAGAGCAAGTCAAGCATTTGCCCACATAAGTGGCAATCTCAGCCTTCATATTAGGCCACCAATACAATTTCTTCAGATGTAGATACATCTTGTCAGAGACAAGATGTAGATAATATCT